TTTTCTATTTTTCGACGTCTTACTTTACGTAATTCCGCTTAAACTACAATTTATTAAATTAGAGTCGATTTTGGGTCAAAGAAACGGTCGGTCAACCGGACATTGTGAATGAAATATTCAAATCGTTGACGACGTCTCTCTTATCGTGCTGTAAAGTTCGCAATTATTTCCGAGATTTTAAGGGGGGGTTAGAAATATCGAAAATGTGGAACGAATCGAGTTTTATTTTATTTCACCATTTTATGATACTATATTCCTTTTTCCTATATTAGCGTATGTTTGCGCTATCACTATTTTAATGCGTTCAAATATAGGCGAATTTGAAAGTCTGCGACTAAAAATGGCATGTCTATTTCTCTCTCTCTCCCTCCCTCTCTCCCTCTCTCCCTCTCTCTCTCTCTTTTCTGCACTTTCTCGATGAACGGCCGCGACAGTATCTCGATATGTGACACGGTTGAGAGAACGGTAATGCGGAACAGCGGCTGCATACAAATGGGGAATTTCGAGAGCAGGAATGCGTTACGGCTTAAAACGGCTTTCCATTCCATTAGATGAATCGCGCGGATAATTAATGTAGTTACGGTCACCCATGATATTCAATCCGCGGAAACCATAAAGCCGCGGCCATTTAATGTTATCCAAGGATACCAAGTGCATACGTGTCAGCATGATAGCCGTATCGATGATCACACAGACAGCATCGTGACAGTCCTTCGCCGGTCTTTCTATACTGTGTAATTTAACTTTACTTCTTTTGTAAAATTTTACATTAAATCTATATGTCGATCGTGGAAAAGGCTTCTCGAAAACACGACATCATGAAGAATAATTAGATTCGAAGAAATAGCGAGGAATCTCAAAATTTAATTCAAGTTTCCATTTTAACAGCAATGCAGATTTTACATGTAATAAAATTACTGAGAACATCTCACGAATTAATCTCTAAGGAGAACAAATATTTTCTGATAAACAAAGAAACTTGGATTTTAAATATCTATAATTCTCAAATCTCGTGCCGGATTAAATGCTGAACGGATCAACGTGGATAAGGGTCGTTTCTTCGCCGCCATTATCCGGCTATTCTCCTGCATTGGAAGATATATCTCGCGAGGCGAAGTTCTGCCGGAACATCAAAAATTGGCGTGTTCCCTCGGGGTGGGAGCTAAATCATTTAAATTTCTGCGCAAACGACCGCGCGCACATGCGGGCGAAACTCTCATGCTCTTTTGGCGGAGGAAAGTTTAAAAAATGACGGAGGGAGAGTAAGAGAGAAGAGGAAAAAAGGAGCGTAAGGAAAAGGTATTATCCGGCTAGCGAATCGCCAGAAAGTTTCGCGCCGAGGGTGATCTCGTCCGGAACTATCCTCAAACTATCGTCAAACTATCGTTGCTACTGACCTTGTTTTCGAGCTGCGCCGAGTGTACGACGTGTCAAAAATCTTGCGGAAGTTCGCCGCTTCGCGAATGCATTCGATAAAAGAATTTCCATTTTAATAGTTCTATTTGCTTTACATATTACTACACCGCGAAGCGATGGTACTTCGTTTCATTGACTTTTAGAATTATAACTAAAAATCATATAAATAATTATAACGAAAAAAATATAATTGCATTTTATATGATTATATTTTATAAATTTATATTAATTATCATTATCAAGATACACGATCGTGGATCGCGCCAAGGATTATGCAGAAATGCAAGGAAATGTCTACTTGTATGGACACTATAAATATTTTAGTAACAATAGTGAAAATTTTATTGTTTCTAATATTTGTATGAATACACTTGTAGTGTTTATTCTGTATGGAACTTTAGATTATTATAATGATTTCGACGATCGATAAGTTCATGAAATTTAAAATCCTCGTTAGCTAAGCCGAGAAATGTTTGCGCACGATATCGAATGTCCTCGAAGGGAATTTACATTTTTATTTCCCGATACTACAAGCTCGTTTTTGTTGATGGGGATTACCGCCGATCAACGATAGCACGTGTAGCGAAAATTAACAAAAAATTGCCTCGTCGACAACGTTTCCGTGAATTTCATGTCTTCTCTTTTTTAGTTTTGATTTTATACGTTTGTGATTATATATAAACATTTCATAAATACTTAATTGACTCATTTATTTTAAAAGCGGCGGCAAAATAAATTTTTAAAAACATTATAAATTTTAGTGAAATGTAGATACATAATTTGATGCACAGATTTTAGTAGAATTTTAAAAAACTTCTGATCTTATATTATTTTTTTCGAAATAAATAGCGAATAATATGTATGTAATGCACAAGTTCAACGGATAACTAATAAAAAAATAATTTAGTAAAATACTTTCGTATGCATTTAGCAAAGTGTTTTTTATATAAATTTATGGCATTTTTAAGACACATGATTTAATTCTATCATATCTACATATAAAAATTGTTCATCCGCATCCGTTAGGATTTATTTTATTATTTGTGAAGCCTGACCTAACATGTATGTGCGTTATATCTCGCAAATAGTATTGTACGTGATATTCTGATTCATAGAGATGAGAGGAGAAGAAGGTGAATCGGGGAACGTCATTTGTAGAATATTGGAGTACAATCTGGCAATCTGGTGGATTGCATTCTTCGAAACATTCGATCCTCAATGGCGAAAAGACCAGAAATGCGAGGGAAAATCGAAGACCAGTGGAGATTTCAAAAGAAGATAATGTACCGTGGCACGAAATAGTCTTTGAAACTGCTCATGTTTTTACCAATATCGCATTTGATATCAGGAATATTTTTTGTCGAGAGAAAGAGAGGAAAAATGAACATATAACATTTGCTATGTTACACAAATATTATATTTGCGTTAATTATTTTCTAATACAAAGAAGACGCTTTTTTATTTAAATTATATATAATATCAATTAAAAATTACCTTGTGATAAACATATCGTATTCGCGTTCAGATTTTTATATCAGATCATCTTCAATCTTTGCATTGGACAATTTTACAGTTATCCCTGAAACTTTGATAGACGATGTTTTAAAAATGAAGGAAATATACTCGAAACGCCCTTAACGCGTGTTACTACAAACAAACATATAAATCAAAAATGCTCTACCGAAAGAGAAGATAATTTCGTGCATCCGCAGGAGATAACCAGGCACTATCGCGTCGATATGCTATTCTACCTCTTTCCACGCTCCCTCTTACTCTAGAGAGATTTCCAATGGAGAATGCTGACAGACGAATCCATCAGTACATTGAGGATTCTAGAGAAAATGACGTATCTTTAGATTCAGCGAACAAGCTCCTGTCTCGTTGGTATCGACAGAAGGATGCGGCAAATGCGTTCGCAACCGAGATCAATTCTATTGTAAATGGTCGTGCACTTAATCTTGTTGATAGAAGCTACCGTAATTACATAATGGTGATTGAGTTTTACATTACGTACCCGGATTAATTCAATTTTTTAACATATAAAAAATCTTATTTTAATATTTTTCATGTGCTTTCTATTACCGGCCTGACCGCGTCTAATGCGACATATGATTAACGCTACATAAAAGTTTATTCAGCGAGCTGCAGTTTCACCTTCCTTTAATGAATTCTAAATAACGATATGACGCTGTTGACAGCTTGTTGCGGGAAAGTGATGAATTTACGCTTCATTTACAACAACGCGAGTCCCATTTAATTCGGTTTAATACAATCTCAAGTTATGGTTAAATCAATATAATAAATTTACGGTCGACACCTTAAAATAGCCAATTTTACAAGTTGAGAGTGGAAAAAATATAATAACGTGATGGTGCCGTCTATAATATTAGATAGCACAACAAATATTTGCTAATTAAAGGATATAATTCCATTTTTATTTTTGGGTTGATCTCAAGTTTGAGAATGACATTGATTTCTTCCTTTCTGTATATCGATATAATTCTTTCATCGATCCGTGACCGATTCGATTCTGCTACGATGTGACTGTCATCAACTGTGTGACACGTACGCAAGACTGTTTACCGAGCTTCTTGGTAGCCTCGCTTTCCTTTTACCGACTCTAGGAGATAGCTTCCCGTGACTGACAACTTGCACCACTTGCACCACTCGCGAGGAAAGATGATGTAGTATCGCAGAAATGGTAGCGATGGTGAGGGAATGAACTCGCGTATACTAGTGCAAGAACCAACATGGTCCGAGTACGTTGGTCGGCACGTTTTGCCGGCCAGCCGACTGGCCAGCTAGCCAGCCAGCTCTGGGAAGATGAATTACATCGGGACGTGATGGTGCCGTCTGCTCACGGTCGCGCCGCCGATCGGACTCGCGGAAACTTGTGTACGGATACAGACACGTCGGCAGCTCTGCCCCCGTCGATTCTCTCCCTCTTTCCTTCGTCTTATCGAAGACTCGCGTGCTCGTGCTCGAGCTTTTCGTGTTCCGGTGCTGAAGCTGAGGCGAAGGGACCGTAAGAGAGGGACGAAGGGTGATAGCGCGCGAAGGGAGAAGATTGATTGCGTCGAATCCCGCGTACAATCGGCGAAAGAAACCGAACCGACGAACGGTGCCGAGTTTCCGCATGGCATTTTAAGAAATTTTGCTTGCATCGCGAAACGATGAAGGGAATGAGGCTTTCCTCCGACCTCGAAACGCGTGAATAGAGATGAACGCTTCGCCAGGTTTGCAATGGAGAATCGCTTATTATCGTTCTCGGTAGTACCAAGCGAGAGAATTCTGCGAGAGAATTCTGCGAGAGTTCTCTGATCGGAGAGGAGAAGGAGATGAGGATCGAGCTACGATAATCTTCCATGGCTATTATTAATGTTCCTCGCTTTGCTCTCTATTCTATTGTCGATTTATCATATATCTCTTGACAATCTCACATTTTTTTTAAGAAAATATTTACACAGCAAATATTACGAAATATAGAAAAATATGTATCTCAAATGTCAAATTGTTGTGTTAAAAATTAATTAATAATGATATAATTTAACGAAGTAAATTACAGTAATGAATAAAGGACGTACCTTGACATGTACGCCAGGTCGGTCGAATATCTGAATCCTGTGGCTGCTGTCCGGTACATATCGGAAGAACTCGTGATCATCCTTATACCATTTAACCGAATAGAGACCACTTTGACTTAATATTTGCCATTCGCACTTGAGCTCGATCGAGGAACCCACTTCGGCTTCTTTTGGCACATTGAACTCCACCTTGATATCGTTGCCCGCTGAAAAATACGAAATCTAATTTTATTGTTGCAATAAATCAATGTATATTTTAGATGTGAATTTTACACCGCGTGTCAAAACAAATGGTAATAATGATTTTTTTATTTCTTTTCTTCTTCTCTTCATTTCTGAGCAATTGTGCACTCTTTATTATACGGATTACGTAATTGGGCATGACGAGCAACCCGGCTTTCACGAACACGTTCCTAAACTCGTTATAATTCTTGATCACGAAATAGGGATGCCGATCTCGCGTGGCGCGCAGTTTGCGCCATTTTCGAGATCCCATTTCGTTAATCCACGGCCCCGCACGGGCACGAGAAGCGACGTTTGGAATCCGCAGTCGCTTCGCAATTACCGCCCGCGTCTGTCAGCCGAGGGCAGGCACGGATAGTAAAAGGGTGGCGTGTGTTAAGCGCGAGAATAAATACGCGGTTGCTGGGAGGGTCGGGCGAGGTCGAGGTAAACGCCACTGTGAGTTTCGTGCGCGATCCGGAAGTTACCTCTTAAACTCGAAACGAATGCATTTCGCTGTGTACACACGTACAACAAAACTTGCGTAGAATTATTGCGCTATTGTAAAATTATGTTTTCCGGCCAGATTAAAATTTCCAAGTTTAATAGAAAGAGGAGGTAAAAGTGTAATAATTACAAGTAGTGCCCGCAATAAAAATGAAAGTAACGAATAATTAATGTAATACATGAGGAGGAGGAGGAAAGAAATATGAATTATGTAACGCGTAACAAAATTCATAAGTTATTTACTTCCCTAGAATGCAATTATCCTGGTAACATAAAGATTAAAACTTTTAAATTGCATTATTTAAGAAATCGCTAATATATATTTACACAAATAATCATGTTACTTTAGCCTTTTATTTTATTCATATTTTATATAACAATTATATACTGTATCCTGGTAATCATTTTTTATAATTTGACTTATGAGCCATAATGAATTGAATAGTATGATAAATTTGTTTGGTCATACACGATGGGAAAATTTATTCCATTGCTGGGACCGCGAACGGGACCGCCCGTACACATTAACTCTGGCGAATGGCTCATAATACGGCAGGTATCGGGTTAATTTAAAGCACGGGGCAAGATCGGTCGGAGAGATAGCAGCTACCGCGGATGGGAAAGCGTGGCACGACGATCACGAGGCGTGTTGGGTTTAAGTGCGGCGGCCGTTGTCATTAAAGGTCCATCGAGCGGAATGCCGAGAGACCTCGCTTATTCTCCGCATTTGCTCTCCCGTCCGGCGCCGGCGTCCGCAATTTACAGTCGCGCGTGTTAAGATTTAATGACGCGCGAATTTCGGCTTACGGATTAAGGTCTCAAAGAGCGGGCCGGCTCTCATAAACCTCTCGTGTTGCATGCCGCATCCGTGAGTTTCGTAGAGCGGTCAAGAATAAATTTTAATGTATATTTCAAAAACCATACAGAATTTTCCAGCATCGCTTCGAGCGAATGCTGCGGGTTATGCATCTCGAAACATTTTAAATTCTTTGCGATTTATTAATTATTTCTGTAGAAGAAGCCTCAAGTACTGCAAAATAATAAACTAATAAGCAAATTAATAAAGACTGTAGAATTGTCGTTATGAAGGATTAATTTGGTACAGCTGATGTACATAGATTTGCGATATATGGAACGTTATACTGACATTCGACGGGATTGACTTAACCGGAGTGTCAGTCGCAGCTGCTTCCGATATCGCGATTTGCATTTCGCAACGTGTCTCCTCGTCACCGCTTACTGTTTCCCTCGATATCTCTCATCTGCGCGTCGTCAATTTCCGTTGTTACAAAGACCAAGTCGTTAACTTATCAATAAAGTTTGACATCTCGTGAGACTGCATCGCGAACGTTTCCGCGCCATTTATCAACGGCACCTGGCGTATTGAAAACTGTTTTCCTGGGACGGGCGTGAAAGAAGGCGCCAAAAGTGTATGGCGCCATCGATTTTAGTTACGATACGTTTCAATCAAAGAAAATTTTAATCGCGTACGATACAAACGTACGTGATAAATTTTTGTTAAATAAAAACTTCGATGATCTTACATCAGTCCCTTTTAAAGTGACATTTGATTTAATTCCATTTAGTTCCAAGTGTGAACTTGATTTTATTTTTAATTTTCAATTATATTTTATCGTAACATTTCGCTCTCTCCATAAAAATATTAAAAGAAAACTTGTCAACTATTTTTAATATATTAAGCTAAGAATTCATTTTTAAGCTACTTGGAATTTATCAAGCGGCAACGTGGGTGCTTTTTATGATCGTATTTTGCAGAAATCTCTCGCGGTCGCGAAAATGAAGTCGGCAAAAGAGGAAGCCGCGAGACAAAAGCTTCCTTAAAATGCGACGACAGTCCGCTATCCACGTTCTCAGTCGTGTAGTTCCCCCATAAATCCCATCCTTTCCTTCTACTATTTGTTACTTCCATGACAAAGACAGCACATTACGCAAAGGAATTTGTCCAATTGTCTCGATCAAAGTCGCTCTCTCACAAGTCGCCTCATATTGCCGTTGGGTTCCGTCTGCATTCTGGACGCAACGGCGGGAATATTTCTTGCTCATCGCGAACGTTAAAGCTAAGTCTTTCAAACCGTGCGGGTCTCTCAAGCGTTTCCTTTTCGAGTGTCTGATCTCCACCGGATTCCATTCATGCAAGACTCTTCTCGCGAATTGAAATCGAATGCCTCGGCTATCTTCCTCGCTTTTGCGACGACCCACGTTTCGCGTCCGTTTTCCCATTCGCATGAAATTTATCTCTAAACAAGGCAGACATTCTGCCGCGAATATCTAGATTTGAGATTTCTCATCCGCGAAGCAAAAACGTTGCGCCAAATCAAAAGCGTTTGCCGATGTGAACTTTTCTTTCTCTTCGCTCGGCAAAGCAGAATAATATTTCTGACAGAAGCATTTCTGTATATTTCGTTTTATCGTTTTATCTATGCCGGGCATCAATGCTCTGATTTCTAAAATGTAATTGCATATAACGTACGAACAAGATGTTTTGCATTAAACTTTCATATCCATTTTATTAAATATTTAGACACGTCATTTATATTTCCTTTGATGAGTATTTTATAATGCAAATCAAATATTCTCTTTTAACTTAAATCTCCAATTGACATTTTGGGAAAAAAAAAACGAAATCCGCTTGGATCCAAATAAAAGTAATTTGTGCGTTAGAAGTTAGCTTATTCTAGAACTCATATGTTTAATCTATTATGACCTACGTCTCTCGATATTTCAATTAAATGGAAGTTGATAAATTATTTAAAAAAATCTTCATTTAGAGATCTTCATTTGGTGGCTTTTTGAAAACTTTTTGGCAACGTGCATTCATGTACGCGGTGTATAACAAGTGATGTTCAACGAATAACAAATCCATCCGTTTCTCCATCTCTTTGCTCATAATCGCTGCTCGTTAACCGCACGGAGGAACACCGCGGCTGCTGAATTGAAGTCTAGGAGGCCCTGATTGCGGATGCTCGTTTTTCTGATTGCCAGCCGTTGCCCACAACCAATTTCTGTTTGGTGCGTTCGCGCGCGCAAAAGCTCGAAGCACCCTGATTCGGAGAAACGACTTCCGGCTAGCTCGCCGCCAGTCGAAACCTCATTACCGTCCGAGGATTGTACGTTCTCTTTCTCCAGAGAGGGGGAGGAAGGGGGGGAAGGAGGGTTGGATAAATAAAAGCGCTTTACGTGCCTTTCGTGGAGACACACGACAGCCACTTCGGGATGTTTCCCCTTTGTCTTCGGATTATGCAAACGCAACGCTGCTACCTCTTCGTTGTAGGTCGATGCAGAAGGGCGCGCCGCTTGACTGGGGGGGCTCTCGCAATTTCGTAGAAGAGCTACTCTTTGAAGTGGATGTAAACGTGAATGTCCTTTTTAGGATGGCGCGCGCGCACGCGGAAAGAGTTCCGAAACATGTTTTTCCTGCTGCTCTTGTAGATTTCGCTCGATTCTATTCGGCTGCACTCAGAGAAATTTTGTTGATTGATCCAGAAATACGGGAAATCCCTGAGTTATCTCGAGAAAAAGATACAAATTTCGTTCTTCACAGCGGATTATAGAACGCGTTTTTTGGAAACAAGGTTCGATTGTACAAAGATATTTAACAGTTTGCAAAAATTTTAAATATACACGTGAATCTTGAGGAACTTCGTATGTTGCCATTATTTCGCGGATGTTATGTTGCGACTTGTATATAAGAAAGTAAAGCGCCTTTTACAAGAGTTCGACTTTACCTCTCCCCGCTTTGAGCGAGCCGCGGGCAATATCGTGGCTCACGTGAGGAGAACGTGATAGAATAAAGCTGGCCTACTTCTCGTCAACCGACCAATAAAATATGCAATCTCTTCTCGCGCTGTAATATAAGGCATGAAACTTGTAGCTTTTCTTTTTCCCTCTGGAATCTTCGCCACTGCCATCGCCATCGCCATCTTTCCACTCGCGACCCTTTAACGATAAAATATTCTTTTTTTCGCTTTTTATAAAGAATACGATCGTTGTGTACACCGTAACGCGGCAGCGTAAGCGGACACGAAACATAGTTTCCCTTTAGTTGCCTTCGAGGGTTAAATTATCTCAAAGTGCGTCAGTTATTACACCAATGTACGAACTTGGATCATAAATGAAGCGCTTAACTCTCAATATACGCTTTTGCAGTAGCAACGTATCTTTTTAATTCCATTCACTCGTTTTCTTTTGAAGCACCTTCTGAAGCATCTACGTTGCCGCTGCGGCCTTATTTTTTTGAACGCTCTGATAGAACCGGTATAATGAAGGTACAGCATTTTTTTCTGATTAACGTAGAACCAAGCAGCGAGAATATTTTTCACTTTTTGTAAAATAGTATATTGTATACATTTAATTGTATACATTTTATTAAAAAATTGCAAAGCATATAATAAATTCGAGGCAATTTGAGTGAATCAAAATATTGTAAACGACGGAAATATCGCGATATTTATTACCT